GACAATTTTATATGACAAAGTGGAAACTGAAAATTCACACGAGACTGGGTTTGTTCAGGAGATGAGCCAGCTGCTTGCAGTAATCAGAACAAGGTAAAGCAAAGGAGGAAGGCAAAGAAAGAAGGAAGGGCAATTATGCACTGAAATTTTTCTTACTAGAAGTTTGCATGGTGGTTAGAAAAAATTAGCTTACAATGTGACGAAAATGAATGATTGATGCTTCGGATGACTTTATGATTTGTATACTTCTCTGGATACTGAAAATTGGAATGTATACCAAAATGATGTGCGCAAATGCTTAAGCTCGGTTCTATAACAGGTTGAGCTTCCAATGTTTCTCAACCAAATTTATTACATTCTAGGCTACATGGTAACTTCTTTTTTTTGTTGTTGACAAAAGTAGTAACATTTGGATTTACAAGAATTACTGAAAATCTAAGCGGGAGATGCACTCGATACTTCTCTATACATCCCGAATACATGTAAATAAACATGCACTAAGAACCATAAGGGGAAAATGTAGAAGTGAATTCTCAATATAAACTGGAGAATGAAAGTGTCTGCATATTGCTAGACTAGCCTCATACATAACATGTAAGTACGTGACCGGAAATGATACTGCTACCTGCTACCGAAAGTGACACTAGTCCAGGAATTATCGGAAGCTTCGCATAGCGCATACACCATGAAGAGCCAGAGTTCCTATAATCAAGAATCAAAATATGAAACACCATCAGAAGTTCTAGATGATTAATGCTTAGAGCTTATCAAATACTACAATAAGCTATGAAGAATGAAGAGTAATGCTAGCAAAATAAAAGAGGGTAGGTGAGGTAGCTAAGTGACAGCAGTAGCTAATAAAACAGAGTATCAGAAATTTAATATGTGTTTCTTTTTGTTTGTCTAAAGAGAAAGGATGTAATTATCTAATTCCTCATTAAAAGGGGGAAAAAAAACAATTAATATTATCATTGTTCCCAGCAATTTAGATGTCATCATGGTCCTCAAATTGTCATCATCTAGAAACAACTGCACAGAGACCTTTTATGTGTGAAGCTCTAACTTCTCAACTGAACAAATCCAAGACCAATATTTTAGTCATTTTATTGTGTACTATTTGGAGCATAGTTTTAAGTCACAACACAACAAAGGCAAACACACATTATAATGCTTTGCTTGCTTTTATCATCACCTATGAAAAGTGGAAAATCATGCTCCCATCATGCACCGCTTGAAAAATCTAAAACCCACCAACAAGCCAAACACCTTTGGCTTTTGCTCAGCTAAAAAGCTAATTAATTAATTAATTAAGCAAACCCCAAAAGCAGAATAAGCAAAAGCAAAAGCACTTCCGTACCTTTCTTTTTCAAAGTGACCGTAGGATGACTTGAATTGATGGGCTAATCTTACTCGGACGGGTAATCAAACGGCACGGTAGAGACCGCACGATCCATTGTGCTCGGGTGCACGTAACCGTATTTGCGAAGCACCTGATTATCAGCGAAATTCAACGCTTTCTCCATCCCATCCCAACACGAATTCGCCTTGTACATCTCGTTGTGCCTCCCACTGCACGGCTGGCATCCGGTGAAGTGCGTGATGAACGGTCGCCTCCAGCTCCCTCTCCCGTACCCCGCCTCACTCAAATACTCCTCCCGAAACGCACCGTATTGCTCGCTCACCTTCTCCGCGTGCCGCCTCCTTAAACGCACCGCATTGTCCTCCTCCCCTCTCTCTATCTCCGCGTACCGGTCCTCGATCTTGTCAAGCGTCCCGACGATCTCCGCCCAGTACCCTTCGAAATAATACTCGCTCTCCAGATAAATCTTCTTCCCCCACTTTTCCTTCTCCTTGTAGATCAAGTAAGCGAGGCCCGTCTGATCGTCTGACTCCGGGAACGCCTTGTCCTTGAACGTTGACCGGAGGGTTTCTCCCCATTTCTCGTAGTCCGGGGTCTGCGGGCCCATGCTGGCCCACACCTCGAGGAAATCCATGGTCCACTGGCAGTTCCTGATCAAGAACACGCCGGCGTTGAGCCCCGTCCAACTGTGCGTCTCCATGACCAGGTGGGCCCAGCCGTGGACGACGAGGTTGTGATTCTTGTACCGGTCCAACGGGAGCTTGAATTCCATGTCGGTGAACAACGCGTCCGAGTCGACCCACCAGATCCACTCGACCTCCGGGTGGGCCACCATGGCGGCCCGGATTACTGCCAGCTTGGCCCAGTAGCTGCCCATCCGCGGGTGCAGCAGCGCGTTGTTGTAGAAGATTTCGTGCCCGTGGAGTCTACAATAGTCCACCTTGTTCTTGAAGAATCGCAAGAGGAGATGATCGCCGATAGGATTGCGACACGCGGCCGGCTGAGATCCCGTCACCATCAGAATCCTCTCCCCTGCTCCGGCGGCGAGAGAGGGGTGAAGGAGCAGCCACTGCTGCCGCTTCTCGTCCCAGTTCTGAACCGGGTCCCCGAGCGTGTACCGGACTTCCCGGTCGTCGTAAAAGGTCGGGTCCGGCGGGTCGCGGCGTAGGTTAGCATCATCGGCGCATTGATCGGGTTCGGCGGTGGGCGGCGGAGAAGTTACCGTACGGGCGAAATTGGGGGATGAATAAGTGCTTACGAAGGAGTAAAAAGTGAAGAGGACGAGAAGAGCGAGAAATGCACCGCTGAAGAAGAGCACGCTATCGGCGAGCCAAGAAGAGGGCTTGGTTCTGGGAGAGGGTTTCGACATTGGAGGGAGCTCAGGCGAGAGCATTATAGCTGTGTGTGGCTGAGATTGGGTTCTCAACGGCGTCCTTTGGCGGCCATAGAGGGATGGATGGATGGATGAAGTTTCTTTAATCTTCTATTCTGGTCTCTCTGCTGGTGTGTAGATAGATATGCTTAGCAGAGGGTTTAAGTTTTTTAAGTGGGGCTTAAAGGGAGTGTGCACAGTCGGTTTTGAAGCGCAGAAGATGCTAAAGTACGCCACAAGGCAGGCAGGCAGGAGAGAGGGCTTCAACGTGATCAACGGCAGTGCGAGGGTCCCATGTCTGGTCAAGTCTTGTTCAAGGTGACACCTGGATTATGTAATTATGAACCGACACTTTTGGGTTAGAAATTTCGTGACCAACACCAACGGTTACAGTTTTACACAGTATATGGCTGCGTTCTATCGGAGAGGTTGAGGGTATTATGGTCATTTTGAGGAGACAATAAGGAAACATGGACCTTGTTTATAATCCCTCAAAACTATATAGTCCAAAACTTATAGGCCAATAATCTCTGATTAGCATTTGACCCCTGAAATTAAAAAATTCAAATCAATAAAAAAATATGATAAAATCGCAATGACTTTATGATAATAATATGAATAATATTACAAATACAAGCTCATGCGTTGTTTAAATAGTAAACTCAAAACCTTAATAACTGGCAAATCCTAAAGTTCCATAATAATCCTAAACTTAACTAACAAGAACACAGTTCAAATCCTAATTTTAAAATCGTATCGGGAAAATAATATCATAAATGGTAACTTATTCTAAAATTAAAAATAAATATTAAATAAAATATTTTCCTCACCAAAAACATGTTCACTTTAAACTTGCTCAAGCAATCCGAAAATTCAAACAATAATTCGTTCCTCCATTTTTAACGCCATAATCAATATTTGAGTATAACTTTCATGCCTTGCTTGATTTCCTGCCAATTTTGAACCAAGTTGTTTTCTTTATTTTTATTCGTAGGAATTTATCCATATTTTGTAAGGACATTTCATGTTAAGAGGGACAATAATATACTAACTTACACTGTATACGAATATTAAGACTCGAACCCAAAACTTTTCCTCAAGGGAACAATTGCTCTAAACCACTACACTACACTAGTAGGTCTTTTGCTATTTGATATACACTTAAAAAAAATGGATTCCAAATGTTTTGTTTTTTAAGAAAAAGCGATGAAATTCCAAATGTTTGAAGTTTAGCTCTTCTTCTCTCTCTCTCCCCCCAACCCCCAAGTCGATTGCTTTAAGTTATAATATAGACCCGTTTGGTTATCACTCTACATCAGCTTACAAATCATTCTAAACATATAGGCCAGAAACTAGGACCAAAAAGCAAAAAAATATAACTAAAATTTATTCAACTCAAACTCAAAGACCAGAAACCAAATAAATAAATAACTTTTTTTATAAATAAAAAAAAAAAAAAAAAACATGCTATGTTGTAACCATTGGGTGATTGATTAATTTTTGAGGTGTTATTAATTATAATAATTTATATAAAATAATAATAATAAAAAAAGCCCTCATATTTGAAAAGTTCGAATAATGGGGGCGGGCACCATGGCACCAAAATATTTGGTGTGTTGTTGACCATCTTCATAAGAATGAGACGGCACGGTATATTTATTTGAACAAAGTTATTTTCTTTATTTTTTCTTTGTAGGAATTTAGCTATATTTTGTCCAACATTAGTTTATAATTGGTTGATTCAATTCAACTATGTATTGTAACAAATTAAACTACACATGTATTTTCATTTTTTCCCTAGAAAATGGTTAGCGCATGGAAAATTCTCCAATTGGTAGAAGTGTCATAGATAAAAGATAATGTTTAAAAATTAGAAAATAAATAATCTGCATTGAGATTTTAGTAAACAATGATAAACACAAACACAAAGAGAGCCAGATACGAGTGTCAGAAGATTCACAACATAATGACTTCCATATGTAGTTTGTTTATACTTTACCTCTCTAATCTAATGCCCTAATATTTTAATTCATTTTATTAACATAAACAACTAGTTCATCCATAAGCATATATAGGCCACCAAACTCATGTGTTTTTCTATTGGCCAAACCAAACACATGTGTTTTTCTATTGGCCAAGTGTGTCTCTCTCTCTCTCTCTCTCTCTCTCTCTCTCTCTCTCTCTCTCTCTCTAATTTGGCAGCATTTCCAATTTGATAATATATTAGAGGCTTCGCTGGTCCACTCTACGGATTCTAAGGATCATAAGTTGAAATAAAAATATTATGATTAGATTACAACAGAAACTTCTGAGGAACTCAATTCCGGATGCACAAAGCCATAGTTCTTAAGCACTTGATTATCGGCATAATTCAAAGCCCTCTTCATCTCATTCCAACACGAATCGGCTGAATATTGTGGATTGTGCTCTCCACTACACGGTTGACAACCTGTAAAATGCGTCACAAAAGGTCTCCTCTCACGCCCCTGGAGATATTTTTCTCTCTCTGCATCATACCAGTCATTCACTTTCTCCGCATGTCTCCTCCTCAAAACGCCCTCGTTTCGCTCCATCTTAATATAACTCGCGGTCAAAGTATCGTATTTCCCAACTAAAGCCAACCAATAACCTTCCAAATTATACTCTCCTTCTAAATAAGTCTTGTCCCCCCATTTCTCCTTATTCGTAAAAAGTAAATAAATCAGAGACGATTGATCGTCCGAGACCGAGAATAACTTGTCTTTAAATACCGATGTTAAAATCTGGCCCCACCTCTCAAAATCCGGACTCAATGGGCCCATCGAGGCCCATACATCAATCAAATCCATGGACCATTGACAGTTTCGAATTAACAATACGCCAGCGTTAAGCCCGGTCCAACTTTTGTTCTTATCCCCATAAACCATATTGGGCCAACCATGGACCACAAGATTGTGGTCTTTGTACCGGCCCAGCGGAACCTTAAACTCCATGTCGGTGAACACGGCGTCAGAGTCCATCCACCAGATCCATTCAGCTTCCGGGTGGGCCAGCATCGCGGCCCGAATTATAGGTAGCTTGGCCCAATAAGAGTCCATCTTGGGATGCAAGTATGCGTCGTTGTAGAAAATGTCGTGGCCATGGAGACGACAATAGTCCGCCTTGTTCTTGAAGAACCTCAGAAGGAGATGGTCGCCAATCGGGTTCTTACAAACGGACGGCTGCGATCCGGTGACGAGGAGGACCCGATCTCGTGACCCGGCGGTGAATGACGGGTGAAGGTCTAGCCAAACGCGTCGCTTCTGGTCCCAGTTATTGACCGGCTTCTCTATGAAATAGCTCAGTTCCGGGTCGTCGTAGAAGGTTTCATGGGGCGGGTCGGAATGGAGAATCGGAGCCTCCGCCCCGTAATCTGAGGCTTTTGCAGAAAAAGGGATGAAGCCAAAATGGGGTTTGTAATGGTAAAGGGTTAGGGACCAGAAACAAAAAAGGCCGAAGAAGAGGCCAGCGAGAAAACAAAACCCGTCTGCACAGGGTTTTGTTTGATGGATCGATTTCGCCATAAAAGTTGTTTGGTGGCTGAGAAATTAGTGTGAGGGAAACTGGTCAAGACTTCTTTTTTAAGATAGAGAAATGGGGTTTGGGGATTTTCGATTTTGGGTGTGGCTTGGGAGGCAAGTGACACTTGCCTAAAATGAATTTATGTTTTGGAAGACGTTTATGGGAGACACGGATTGTTTTCCTAAAAGCTATGGAGGCAAATATGGTGGGTAGTTATTGCAGTGTTTTATGATTGATCTACTGATCTAAGGTGTTTTACACTGTTTTTGTGCTAACCATTGGCTCGATCGGTCATGTATAATTTTCAGTGTAATCGTAACATCATTCAGAGTAACTTAAGTGATTTTAAGACTATCCAAATGTTATTTGAAACTTCATCGATAAGTAAAATATTGATTCATCACATAGAACCCGCTAGTAGTATGCAAAAAATGAGTCAAAAAAATTCTTTACGGCGTGCGGCTTTAACTCTACATTTTTACTTTAGAAAAAAATCAACAACATAGATTATCTCCTATACTAATTTCACTGCTAAATTTTTTTAGTTTATTAGGACAACTTTGTAGACATTGCATTTGCAATAAATTGATCATTTCATATGTATCTTTAAAGATATACTGTAATCAGCTAAAAGATCAAGTAAGTTAATTACATAATTAGATATGCATTTTTATCTTTAGAAACTTTCTCCACACATCCCCCAAAAAGGAGGGAAATCTTCAAGTCTTGAGCTAATTGTGTGAATTTCCAAAGCTGCAGATTACATAAGTTATTACGAAATCGTTGCTTATTTATCACCAACAACTTTATGCTTTTCATGCTTCTCATTTGCTTTTACAATTTTTCTTTTTCTCACTTACTTGCAACGATGACTCCATGGGCCACCAGAGAAAACGACATGCGTAAATGTTCTGTCTGTGTCCGTCTGACATAATGGCCCACAGGCCCAAGTATTAATTATTTTAAATTAACTGCCGGTGGTTACATAAACAAGAAGCTTTCATAGCTCAGTTGGTTAGAGCACCCGTTTAGTAAGCGGGAGGTCTTGAGTTCGACTCTCAATGAAAGCAAAACAATTTTTTTTTAATCCCCTTTTGTACGGGCTATCCTAATAAGCTTCGAAGTTAGAAAGAAATAATATTTAATTTAAAACACAAACCACAGGGAAGCCAGCGTCTTTATTATATTGGATTTTGATACGAACATTACAACTTATAAGTTGTTCTACACGTCCGGCTAAATACTCTAAGACAATTTTTTTTTCAATTTCTGACAAATAATATATTTTTTTTCTTTGGAACCAAGCACAACGTTTAACATTGTGCTTGAATTTGAGTGGCAATGGGCAATCACATATCTACACTACACCAACTTCAGTCTTCAGCTACACAAAGAAGAACAACAAACAAAAGACCTCACCCACTAGTCCACTACAGGGCATCTGCCTAATTTACTAATTCAGCAACCTTCTAGATCGCGCCATTTGAGGTAAACAAGCCCCGCACGGTAATGAGTGTACGCGCCTGCCACTACTAATATGTGAAACAATTGGTGGCTGTGCCCTGCAATGTCGAATTTCCCAGGCATCCATCGTTCTGGAACCCTTGTGGCATAAACCAAGGCTCCAACCCCATAGAGAGCCCCCATTAGAATCTCATACCCGGTTGTGTGGAGTGCCTCAGGTTGATCAGAAAACAAGACAAGCTTGTGCATAACAGGTAAAATCCCAGACATGCCCATGCTTAAAAATAGAGATACACGAACAATGCGATATTCAGGATTCTGAAAGACTGGTATGAGGGAAACCAATACTGTAGCAATTCCCAAGAGGGTTATAAATCCCATGTAGAGGTTGCAGAAGAAAGGGTTACACATGAAGGAGTAGTAGACAAGGGGGTAGAATGAGGTAGATATAAGGGCTGCAATTCCAGCATAGTCCAGTCTGAGCATGATATATGACATTCGCTCAGAATGGCATGAGAGAAGATGGCATGCACTGCTGGACAACAAGCAAAACATGGCTCCTCCCAAGAAAGCAAAGAATGGCCATCGTGTGATTGGCCTCAGCATAAGTGGTGCTACTATGTTCGCTAAATCCTCCTTCATGCTACTCTGCAATATTCAGAACAACAAATAAATAAAAAGCTATTAGCTGGATAAATCTCCCCATAAACATTAACATTGACAATGGAAAGTAGATTTACATGAATTGGGGATCTTAGTTGCTCATGGTTTATACAGTTAAGTGCACCAAGAACTCACACAATTCGATTGTGTGTGTTTGTGTGTCTGTTCAATTTAATACATTTCTTCAAGGGGCTAATAATTCATTGCAACTAGTACTCTAGTACCATTAGTCGCATAATAAAATTGTAAACTGCTCAACATTAAGAATGCATCCAGCACTAGATGTCAACCATTTAGGAAATAGGACACAACAATCAATGCAGAGTATGCTCAATTTCCCCGCATGTCATCTTACATGGACAATTATATGATAATTTGAGTAGCCAAAATATAAAATTATTTCAACATAAATAAACCATTTGTTGCTCCTATTGGGTTGGAGAAGAAAGTAACAGTTAAATGTTCATTAAAGGATGCAAGACCCTATTTAGCATAAGCTATTTGACAGAAAACCATGAAGAGGTAATTCAACTTCAAAAGTAATTCCAGGGGCACTAACGCATGGGTTATCTTATACACATATGACAACTATAACAACAGTAGATCAATTGTTTGCAGAACCCAAAAAAGAAAAGAGATGACCCTGTTGATAATTAAGAAAATCAGGAGAACAAGTGTCATTTCAGCAGAGAGTGACATTGATGAGGACATCTTTGTCAAACCCATTAGGGTCTACAAACGAAAAAGATGGAAGAGTAAATTATTTAATTCGGTCTTCAAATCCTGCAATTTTGGAGCAATAGATGATTTCTGCGTTTTTAACTTGTTTTCTAAGTTTTCTATACTTTGAGGATTTCTTGACATCAGACATTAGAGACCAATAAATGCAAGAAATTCCCATACAAACAGGTTCAGCTAAGAGAACATGATGGAATACTCTAAACGCCTAACAGATAATTAATAATATAACAAATAATATCAGCAATCGTATGAAAAGTTAACATAATTCGTTCTAGGGCTTAAAGAGTACCAGAACACAAACATCAGTTTGGTTGCCATGGGAGAATCGTTGAGGCAAACAATTATTCAGAAGTTCCATGACATGCCAACCAGAGAGTGACGGCAGCAGATCCATTGAAGGTAATGAAGTCTTCAACTCTTCTCTAAGTCTGTTCAGATGAGGCATGTTGGGTAAGGAAGGGAGGCATGTCATGAATTCTTCATGTAATTTGTGCAAATCAGCTTTTTTCAGCACATCAGGAAAATGCTGTAGAGCATGAAGATCAACGACCTCTGGAAGCTTAATTGCAGTGTATATGGTCAGGGAGAGAAAAAGGAAGAACCCGATCAAATGCCTGTGAAAGTACTAATTTGTTAGAGAAATGAGATTGTCAAGTGTTGAAGTTTATGCCCTTTGAGTTCCTACATTTCAGTTACCAAAACGTTATATGCATAAAAGTTAAAGACAACTAACAGGAGACCTCTGGAAAAAAAGACAAGGAGACATACTTCTACATTAGTGAAACGCCGTAGGTTTGACAAAGAAATATGGAAGACATTTTCAGCTCATTTGTATTCGAACAGTCTAATCCACTTTAATAAACTTCAGAAGAAATAACAATATTTTAAACAGTTTTTACTTTCTCATTATAATTCACAAATGTAACTCCCCATTAAATATTATAAATTTCAAGGGGAAAAATATAGAAACTATTTGAATTAAGCACCAAATTAATAGCTGTTACCTGAAGGCGACAGACCTACTAAACAAATTATAGGTACAGACAAAAGAATCATATAAAACCCATTTATGTATTGAAAAAATGACTCATAAACAGGATAAAGCCTTACGTCCAAACATTTAGCGTCTCATTGTGGATAGTAAACATACTAAGCAAGACCTGCTTCAACGGCCATTCGGACCGGTAATGGCCCAAAATGTACTCGTTGTCCCTTAAGTAGTTGGGTAAAGTGTGGTACTCAACCAGCTGATACTTCACCTTCTTCCACAGCCGCTTTCCTTTACCTTCCTTCGGTGAACACGCCTGATGGTCCTCCATTGCTTCAGATGACAGTTTTGAATCTTCAAAATTCTGGATCTCACTGCCCATTTTCTGTTTATAAGATACCAAAGTTGACCCAAAAAAATGAAATTTATAAGATACCAAGAAATGAACCCAGATTCTAAAGCATTGATCTTTCATTGCATGGAAGACAAAAGATCCAATATCACATCAAATTTTCCTTTTTTGAATTGAGCTTTCAACAATTGCAGATAGAACATAAAAGTAAAAACCCAACAAAAAGAATTTATTTTCCCTTTTCTTTTGCTGCATTTTCTTGGAAACCAAGCGGCACACAACATCAACAATCTAATAACAATCATTTGCATAATTGTGGGAAAGCAAAGCTCAACAAGAAAAACCCAGATGAGAAAACGTACCTGCAACTTGAAGAACCACCAGCTGAGAAAAATCAAAGCAGCCCCAGAAGAAGATTCTTCTGGCTCAGACGGGTTTTTAGTGTTTGCCTTTTTTATATATGTATATTCGAGCGGTGATAATCAGAAATGAAACAATTGTCGTTAGGAATAAATTCCAAAAATGAGTGTTCGGATTATGAGAAGCCAAGGAATTTTGTCAATGACTGGGTTTTCTTGGGGATCGATAAAAACCCACAAGAGAAAAATGGACGTCGGTTGCTAAAATAGCTTGGAAATTGAGAGGAGAGATTCGTTTGAGGAGATGCGGAGATGCCAATGGACGTTCCTCGATCGGGCAGAGAGGCTTATATGAGTTTGGGTTTGGCACGTTTGGAGGAAAATGACTTGTCTTGTGAATAATGAAATATATTTTTTCAAGTGCTTAGTTAGACCACGGCAGCCTCGGAGATTTTATGGCATTGAAAAAAAAAAAAGGTAAAAAAGGATTTTTCAATACCAACCACACAGGAAATTTATTAAATGAACAAAACATACAGACATTGTCATGTGCCGACATTATACACTATGGACA